AGCTGTGATGACACCACTGCACTCCAGCCTGGGCAACAGAGTAAGACCCTGTATGAAAAAAATATATTATAAAATAAAAATATGGCCAATTCCTAACCCTATAGAATTCAATTAAATTTTAAAATTAATACCTAAAATAAGTAGATTTTATACTTTTATGCCATTTCCAGAACAAGTAGAAACATTATTTCATATAACGGGTGTTTGGTGCAAAAAGGGAAAGGTTTCCTATTAAATGAGTTTAAGAAATGCTGGGTGCAAACAAAAATTGTTAATTTTTGTATTGTGGTGTGTGTTGAATATAGGAAAAACAGATCAGAGATTCTCAATCATTAAGGTAATGACCAACCCTTTATTCTCTCTTGTCACCTTCCCACTTATTTCCTTGGAACATTTTAAGAATTAGTATTCCTGAAAACTTTCAATATTTGGAATGTTTTCTTTTGAACACTCGAAGAGACTGTAAAAATTAAATATACAGTATGAAAACAAATTAATTTAGCAATGCATTATTATGTCTATTTCTCTACTCTTTATTGCCCCTTTGTTGAGTATCAAGATGCCCAGAAGGAACAATAAATTGGATCATTGAAAGAAATACATGCACAGAACGAGTTGTTTTTAATTACCATGGTCATTTTCTAGGATTTTGGTGTTGGCAGTATACCCAGTAGTGATTATTGTTTAAATTATTGTTTTTCCTTGAGGAATCCATCGTTATGACTCAGGGAAAAAATCCTCCCAAGACAGAAAAGCATGCAATCTATTCAATCTATACTTTTGCAGTTCCTCATAAACCTTCCTGTACTCCAAACCATTGGGAGATAATGGCTTCATATACACAGACAAGGGAAAGCAGTATATCTCAGGATAATTAACATCCTTATTCAGCTTTACTGAATTAAAAAAAATAGATTTAAGAGTGTAGTTGTCCCAATAATCTGATCAATTAGATTATCTGACTGAATATATCCAATAATTTTTCAACTTCTCTCCTCATGCATATGTTCTTGGCTGCAGAAAAGTTCTAAAAATGATCCAAGGCCTAGTTGTACCCTTGCCAGTCATCCACTAGGAACCAAGACTTTTTGATTGTCACTCCCATCTTTCACATCACTGCTGCTCACTTAGCCCTTAGTATATGTCACCTTTTATCATTTATTTTTGTTTTAAAGGACACACAGACCTAAGAGAGTTGGGTGGTAGAATGGAAAGAAGATGAATTTAGGAAATAAATAGGCCCAGTTTAAATTGGCCTTTAAGTAAATTACATACTTAACTCTTCAGAGCCTTGGTTTCTTCATTGTAAAATGTAGATAAATTAAAACCTCCAGGGTTCCTGTGGTTGAAAGTAGTATCATACTATTACTCAATGGCTTGAAGATTAAGGAATTTATTACTTCACACAGCAAGACGTCTAGAGGCACAGTGGTTGAGGGTTGGTTAAATTGGAAATTCATTGATGCCATTGGAGACCAAGATGCTTTCTATTTTGGGTCCCCTTTCAAGTCACCTTGAAACCAAACTTAGGTGCACCCTAAGCATCACCTCCCTAGGAACCAAGATCCACATATGACATGAGGAAAGTCCTTGTCTCATGATCCCTTTTAGGACTTTCCAAGAGTGAAGAAAATACTCCTAGAGCTTCCCTGACACTTCCTCGGACCCCTGCCACAACCTGTAAGCTTCTTTCCTTTATGCCCTGTTATATATAGCCCAGAGTTATACCACACAGAAATGCCCACATTAATCACTAGTATGCACCATGGAGCTACCATGACTTGCTGAAAAGAATCAAGATTTACCCCAGGGCTGGGGAGGAGAGCCTGAAGCATTAGGACCTAAATAAAATATTCTCCTGGCAAGGAAAAAGAACAAAAAGAGAAAGAAAGGGTGACCAGAAGTATACGAATGAGGTAAGATTTATAGTCTTCTCCCTTCCTAGATGGGAAGGGTAAGAAATATGACCCATGTCATGACACGTGTTACCTTCTCTGTATATTGGGCAGTTTCCTCAGCTACAGCTGTGAGATTATATGTCCTCAATGGTTGTCACCACCTTGACAGCAAGGAAAAATAGTCCCTGTCTCCATTTATTGAAGGAGACAGGGTTTATTGAAGAAAGCCACTGACTTAATAAATGCATCACATTCTGGAAACTTCTTACCCTGGAGTTTGAAGGGAAGACAATAAATAATGATAAATACAAAAGTAGGCAATTAATCCTCAGTCTTTGCATGATGAGAAATGCTTCAGAAGCCTGTGTTAATAGAAGGATTGCTATTTTCCAACGTTCTGGTCTCATCTATCTTTGGATGCCTTGGGTAGTCTGAGACAAAGCTCAAGTGAATGTAATCAGCCACCTGAAATGAATGCTGTCAAGTGAGAAGTTCCAGAACTATGACTTGAGGCAGTATTATGAATTAATCTGAGAAGGAGCTTCAGCTCCCAAGTTCAATCATGGGCTTGGAATGTAATCCAGAGGGTGTTCACAGCCAGGCAGAGATGATGTCAATTACTAGTTTCAGAAATGCCAAGGGTTGAGTGACTCATCACGTATCAGTAGTCACTACCTCCAGCAATCCCCTAGCCTCAGAAGCTATATTTATTGGATCTAATCAAATGGAAATATAATGGGTGGATGGGATGTAATAATGATGAGTTAAAAATTTTAGGGAAGAAAAATCAATCAGCTTTAAGACTTTAGGCAGAAAAGGAGAGAATAACAGAGAATACATGTGTTTGAAAAATACCTCTATAAATGAAGTAAAACATACAGGGAACTTAGTATGTATTCCAAGGAATAAAATAATTATCAATTATAGATAAACATAGGGTTTTTTTCCAAAATATGCTTTCTTTGGAGACTTTCATTTCTAACAAAAATTATTCATTTTAAGAATGAACAGTGAATTTACCTTAGAGAGATTCTTTTTGTCTTAGATACTGCACAATAAACATACACACACTCTGTTGCTCTTTCTTATTCTCTCTCTCTCTGTCTTCCATTCTTTAGTTTTTTTCAGATTCCTTTGCATCTCACAAACCCAACCCATACCTTATCATGCATGTCCAAACATTGACTGATCAACATTCAAAAAATACATCAAATTCCTTCTAATTGTTCCTTGAATGATAAATTTGCGAAAAAAAAAAATCCGAAGAAATGTTTCTTGAAACTCTGAATCTTCTGTGACAGAACACTCTAGTATCAGTTAGGTGTTTATCTCCTTTGCTACATCCTTAAACCTGATTAAACCCATGGCAACAAAAGTTAGTAATACTCAACAAAGCATTAAGGACTCAGAAATTGCACCATATATAATTTTGTTGATATAGTTAGTAATATACTTAAATAATTCCCTAAACAGTACACGTACAAAAACAAATCTGCTCTATTCTTTAATACTAGTGCAATTTTCTGAAGGAGCGAGCCTTTTTAATTAATTAACATGATTATTATTTGATTTCTTCACTTACTTTAGCTAAAGTAACTCTCCCTTAAGTTTGGTAAAAACATATAAAAGTTTATCTACTGTCTCCTTGTCCTTTAGGCAGCAAAGACCTTTGCAAATCTTAGTCATGACAATGAACTTTGAGGCAGTTATAAATGGTAATTTATTATCCAGCATCTGGAACTTTCTAGATTGTTTCGTTAGCATTTCTTCTTTTGCAAATACATCTGTATGTTTAGAAAAACAACGTATTTTTCCAGTAGAGAAAAGGGATTATGCAAACCTACTTAATCAACCTTTCAGTACATTTTACTAGGGCTTTGTAGAACTCAAGGATGTCATCCTTTTGTTATGCTGATGGTTGGGTGTTATGACATGCATATAAAAATAAAATTAAGCCAGTAAGCTTAATCCTATTTTCTTTGTCCTGAGTGTCTCCACAGGACAGATCTTGTTCATTTCAAAGTCATTTTGACAGTTTTCATCAACATGCCACTTTTTAACTGGCTATAAAAAACATGATGGAGGCTTGTAGAGAATAAATCAAAGGAAATCTTTAATATTCTTTAACTTCACAAAGACTTCAATTTGTGTGTTAATAATGGGCTCGTCTCAAAAGTTATTTTTTAATCTTTTAACAATAATTTATCAAGAAATAAATGGCTTCCATTGACTTCGTAAGTATACTAGAAGCAATTTGGCTTCTATGCCCTGTGTATTGCTGCCCTCAGACCTCTCAGCTGCCTTGATGATTAAAATTCTCATCACTCCACTAGGATATTTTAGTTCTGTTCATAAAAGTTTCCAAATTTTTGTGAAGTTTAGGTGTTTTCTCTTTCATTGCCTGTGCTTTTGGTGCCATAGCTGCAAAACCATTGCCTAATCCGACTCACAAAGATTTACCTGTATGTTTTCTCCTAAAAGTCTTTTGCAGTTTTAACTCTTATATTTAGGAGCTTGATCCATTTTGAGTTAATTTTTTATATATGGTGTGAGGTAAGGATTCAACTTCATTTATTTACATGTGGCTATCCAGTTGTCCTGGGATCATTTATTGAAAAGATTATTCTTTCTGCACTGAATTGTCTTCGCAATTGTTGAAAGTCAGTTGAGCATAAATTGAAGGTTTATTTTTGGAATCTCAATTCTATTCCATTCATCTATGTCTATCCTTATGCCAATACCATATCGTCTTGATTACTGTAGCTTTCTTGTAAGTTTTGAAATTGAGAAGTGTGATTCTTCCAAATCTGTGCTTATTTTAAGATAGTTTTGGTTATTTAGGGTACCTTACATTTTGATATAAAGTTTGGGTCAGCTTGTCAATTGCTGCAAAAAAAAAAAAAAGGTGGGAATTTGAAAAGAATTAAATCTGTAGATCAAGAAGATACTATTTGAAGAATAGTATCATCTTAACAATATCAAGTCCTGCTCCATGAACATAGTATATCTTTCCATTTAGTTAAGTCTCCTTTAATTTCTTCCAATAATGTTTTATAATTATTAAAAAATAGGTTTTGAACTTCTTTTGTTAAATTTAATTTTTTTTACATAAACAGCACTTTTGAAAGGAGAATGTTTAGCTTTTTTAAGCATTTGTGCCTTGAACAAACATAACAGAGGGGCTAACTTATATAATAGGACAGTCTTTTGATAATTTTCTCCCATCAGAATGCAGTCAGAATTAAAATACTGAGTTTTGATGTTATAATCCTTGATCTTCTACTTCTTAGCTTTGGAAACTCAGGCAACTGAACTGCTTTGTGCCATTTTCATTATCTGAAATGGGTATTTTTTTAAAAAAATAGTTATGTCAGATTTTTGTGAAGTTTAAATGTTTAATACATATAAAGTTCAAATACCTGTAATTGGCATCTGCTAAACAGTTAATAAACATGCATCATTGTTATTGCTACAATGCCCTGTCTTCTCCCAAACCAGTGCTAGGGAGCCATGATTATACTTGAATTATACCATTACCTTCTGGAATGTCGAGGCAGAAGAAAGGCTGAAAACGACTGCTCCAGCTTAGAGGCTTTGTTTTCCCATTGTTGAAGAGTCTTTCTAAGAAAATACTATTGTATTCCTTGCTTCATGGGATTCTGCGGTTTGTTTTGTTGGTGTTTTGTAGCTGGCCAGCTGGCTGGAAACTCCTCCGTTGAGATGTATCGCCAAGTGCTCCTGTCTGGTTGTCGCTGTGTGGAGCTAGACTGCTGGAAAGGACGGACTGCAGAAGAAGAACCTGTTATCACCCATGGATTCACCATGACAACTGAAATATCCTTCAAGGTAGAGTCGATGAATGTTGCTAAGAGAGGCAGCTGGGGAGACCCAACCCCTTTAGGGTAAAGCCTCCTAAGGTAGAAAGTCTCAACTGTTACAATTAAGTGCAAAGACTATTAACCATCTTTGCAATTCCAGAAGCTAAAATTTAGCAGTTTATCCATGGATAATTGGCATCAGGTGAATTAATTCATGATAAACAAATTGTAAGGAGACTGTCTTATGACACGAAATATCAATTTATTTGTCTCGTCCTGTTTAGCACTCTTATTCTTGTTTTCTTGTATTTAATTATTGTGAAATATAACATACATAAAGAATATATACAACTTATTTGTACAGTTTAACTAATGGATATAAAGTATACACCCCCATAACTACCACCTAAATTAAGAAATAGAAACTTATTGGCACTCCAAAAACACTGCCAGGTACCCATTCCCATGAGAATGATCCCTAACCCCCAGAGGTAGCCACCATCCCGACTATTACAGTGACCTTTACTTTGCATTTCTTAAGAGCACAGAGCACAAAGCACAAATTCATGTGCAGCCCTAAACAATGTAGCTTCACTGCTTTTTTAACTTGCTATAAATTGATTCACACTTTAACATGCATTATTTTGCGTCTTGCTTTTTGACTCCACAATGTTTGGCAGATTCAACAATATTATTGCACCTATCTCTAACTTGTTTGTTTTCTATACCATGATGATGATGCTGATTGATGATCATGATATTAATTATTCCTACTGATTATAAGATTTCACTCTGTGATGCTAGCCTTTGGCACATTGATACCTATCAGTGAAAGACCCCTAGAAATACACCTATAGTCAGTGTCAGATTTATTTGCTCATACGATGAAGAACACATGCTAGAGGGAGCTGGGGTGTCTCAGTAAAAGTGTGTTAGCTAGGACACGATTGGGGCTTATATTAAGTGATTTGAGGGATGGTTCAAGCAAGCAGGGTTTTGCTATGGATTGGGTGCGGTCAGGAAGCAGAAATAATCCTATGATTGTGTATCTTAATAAATCCTATGTAGGATACAGGACTAAAGCTGTTATTGATAAGATGTATCAGTCATTCTTATTAGCCAGGAATGTGGGGTGTGTTTGCCCCCCCTTTCATTTCCACCTGTGTCTCCATCTTACACCATAAAGAGCTTCACATTCATGTGCATGGACACCCAAGCCAACTATCCAAGTTCTGTCCACATCCCCGGCAAAGAGTCATCCCCAGGGGATTGGGACGATTGGGGTGGGGAAATCTGGCAGCCTAGGTACTTGGAGAGTGACTGGAAGGGGAATGTGAAGGCTTCAGCTGGCACGTTCTCTTGGCTGACTCGGGCTTCTCACCCCTTTGGAAGGGAATCAGAAGAGAAGGGCCAGAGGACAACCTCTAGAACTGGGTCCCATGGCATGAACCCCATTACCTGGGATGTCTGAGTCTCAGGGAAGAATTCAGGCTTCCTAAGCAACCAAGAAAACAGAGTCCAAGTGTACGGTAACTAAGGTGTATACTGAGAGACCAGAATATTGGATAAATTAGATATTATCCTTACCAAGATTGGTGACAAAGCTCTCCCTTTGGATGAAGATGATCATGAGCCACTTGCCAAATATTTGTTGAACAAGGGGGAGCTCAATAGATGGCAGAAGTGAGGAAGGAGTAAAAACTGGTTTGGCTGCCTCACTGGAAGTGGATTTAAGAAAAAAAACAAAACAAAGATTGAGAGGTATTATTTCAGAAGTAGCATTGGTAGTTAAAAGATCTCAAACCCCAGCTTTTAACCCTGGAGCACCTGGAATATGAGAAAATAAACAGCAATCACTGGAGAGAACAGCAGAAGAGAAACAAGATTTTCAAGGGACAGCCAAGTTTCAGTTTAGACAAAAGGATTTTTCTGATCAAAGATTGCTATATTGAGCAATTACAAAGATGTGTTCAGAAGTAGTATCATTAGCACCGTAAAATATGTTTACCATGTTGCGTGTAAGGCATTGGACTTTTCGTGATTTCTTAAACTTAGGCTACAATGCAATAATTGAAGAAAAATAACCCCCTTCAATTAAATCTTACAACAAAGTTTAATGTGGAGTTGACATTAATTCTGATCAAAATCTTTAAAAGTTTTATCTGCTCCTGAAATTGAGCACTTTTAAGGTCTTTGGATTTTTTCAGTTGGAAAATCAATGGATTTTTGCTTTATTTCCATAGTTTCTCTCCCTCCCTTCCAGACCTTGGCATTGCCCTTTGCCAACTGTGGTGGTCCCCAACTTTTTTGGCACCAGGGACTGGTTTTATGGAAAACAATTTTTTCACGGACTGGGAATGGGAGGGGGAGACAGAGCTCAGGCAGCGATGTGAGGGATGGGGAGTGGCTGGAAATACAGATGGTTTCCCTCATTGGCCTGCCACTCATCTCCTGCTGTGCGACCCCCGATTCCTAAATTTCATGGGAGACAATTTTTCCACCGGGGAGGCGGAGCCGAGGCAGTGATGCGCAGCCCGGTTCCTAACAGGCCACGGACCAGTACTGGGCCACCACCCAGAGGTTGGGGACTGCAGATCTAAGATACCAGTCTAACCTGGTTGGGATCCTTAGGAAAAAGTGGGGACAGATGACCTTGGCATGGGGCCAGGGAAGTTTGGGCCCATCTGTCTATGGATGGATGGAGACAATCCTGGAAAGGCCGACAGCGCCCCCTGATGGAGCTGAGGGCTGACGGCACTGCACACTGACCCACTTGCCGGGAAGACCACCCCATCCGCCTGCCTACTGCCCTGTCACCCCTCGGAGTCCTTGTGAGGAGCAATTATATTTTCTTAAAAATTTAAAATCCTCCAAGTCCTTTGAGTTCCTTCCAGGAGAATAAACACGAAGCGCATCCAAAGGCATATTTATTTTATGTGGAGCGTTTGCTTCTTGGCCTCTGCCTGCCGTCAAGTCAGCTTGGAGTGACTCTCCTTGTGCACTCGACCATGCAAGTGGTTCTTCAGTGACATCTATAATCCCAGAGCTACGGGCTGATGGAACATCTCTTCCTGGGCTCTGGAGGCATGGCTTCTCAACCACGTCCACACACTTGCTGGCAGGGTCAGAGGCTTAAAGACTGCAGCTAACCCAGAACACTGCTTCCTCTCTCTGTCTGCTGGAGTTGGCTGAGAGCCGGCAGGTGACCGGGATGGTGTGGCTGGTGTCTCCAGCCATTCCTCCTGCTAATGTGCATTAGTGGGATAGATAGGTCTGGGTGAGCTGTGGGTGGGTGGTGGTGGGTGGGGATGGGCATGAGGAGTAGAAATGCCAACCTGTTTTGTGGACAGATATTTAGTAGCAGCGATTCTTCGTATCAGGACTGAGACTAGGGTAAGGCAAGTGAGGCACCTAGGATGCAAAATTTAAGGAGACCTTTGCTCTCAGGATCACGCAAGACCAGAGTCGATGCCTGAAAGAGAAAGTCTCTTGAAATTTTGCTTGCACTAAGACACTTTTTATGCCTCACCATAGCCCCAGCCCTGCTTGTGTGATTATCAGCATGCAGTCTGCTTTCCCCAACCCTGGTATGTGTGATGGGTACACTAATAAGCCAGACTTCACCACTGTACAATATGCACATGTAATGGAATTCAACTTGTACCCCCAAATCTATTAAAATAAAAAAAAAAGCAGTGCATAAGGTGACTTTGTAAAAAAGGGTAAGAAGAGGAACAAGGCCCTTCGTGATCCACACCCTGCCGATGACCTCATTCCTTACTACTTTTCCGCTCTCCCACTGGGCTCTGGCTACACTGGTCTCCTTGCTGTCCCTTGGACGGTGCTAAGCAGTTCCCTCCTCAGAGCCTCTGTACAGGCTGGTCCCTTTGCCTGAAATGCCCTTGCCCTGTGTATCTGCATAGCTCTCCCTTTTCCTCCTTGAAGCCTTTCTCAAATATCACCTTCTCAATGAGGCCTCCAGGAACCTGTGTATTTTATACTCTCACCAGCTATCACTTTCACTCCCCACAGTACTGACACACACTCCCTCACCCTGCATTTTTTAATTAATAATTTTCCGTAAGGCACTTGCTTTCTAACATTCTGCTTAACTGTTTAATTCTTATGTTCCTTGTTTATTGTCTCTCCTTCTACTAGCATGTAAGTTCCACAAAGACAGGGGTCTTTATTTTGTCCCTTGATCTGTCCCGAGCACTTTGAACAGAACCTGGCATATAGTAGGTGCTCAGTAAATGTTTTTTTGGAATGAATTTTCCCTTCTCAAAGAAAATAGGCAAAATATAGCATAGCCTTCATTTTTAGTTTTTTTTGCTTTTGTTCTTCGGCCAATTGATTTTTTTTTTTTTTTTTTTTTTTTTTGGATTTCCTGTTAGGTTTTTTTGTTGGGCGTTGAAACCTTTTTCCCACGTTTTGCCGTTTTTGGGAACTTTCCCTTCCTTTTGGGCTTGCCTTTCCCGTTTTATTTGGCTTTTAGGTTCCGTTTTTGTTTTTTTTTGTTGCGGCAAATAAACTGATTGCAAAGTTCATCATTTTTATATTACACAGTTTATCTGCTTTCAGCATATATGATCCGGAGAGCTTCTGTGTGATATATCCCAAAAAGCAAGAGTTCCTATTGGCATTTACTGCTTATTTATTGTATGGGCCAAAATAAAAGATTATGGTCTGGGAAAGGGGATATGCTATCATTCAGCCTCTTTATAGAAGGCATTTTGTTTTACAGCCTGGCTTTATTTATTATACTATTTCTCCCAAGTATCTTCTCTGTTTCTGTGCCTCATTGCCTTAGCCTTTCTGATGCCCATGACATAGTGTTTTGCCATTTGGTCTTCATTCTGTCTGCTCCCCCTCAATCTCTGTGCTCCTCACGCTAGACACCACCCACCCCCTCCGTTCCCAGGCTGCTCCTTCTTCTCCCCTCAGGCAGCTTCCTTTTAATCAGCAATTGTACAGGATGGAAAACTGACTAATGTGATAAAATATATGATGAAAATGTATAAAATTTGAATATGTTGTTAAATAGAGCATTTCCGAAAATAAGGCTTCATTCCCTGAGAGAAATAATCATAATTTAGGATGCAAATTCACTGCTACATAAAGGCACACATAAAGTGGATTTCCGAATACACCCAACTGTTTGTCAAGGAAAAAGGATTTCCAGGGCAGTTTTCCCCACTGGAGTTTAGTGTTTGAACCATATGGTTTATAGATTATTGAACCCAGCATTAGAAGTCTCTGAAAAACAGTTTGGGCTTGATGAGGAGCAAATTAGCATGAAGGTACTTTCACATCCAATGTCCAACAATTATAGCGTTTATGAAAGAATGAAAGAATGAAACTTACAAGCTATAACTAGTTTTCTCATCCTGAATGATCACACGTATCATACAAAATATTTCAAAGGCACAAAAGAACGAAAGTCCTCCAGTGGAACTTCTAGAGTTTTCAGTTGTTCCCAGTTGAAATTATTAGATGACATTCAGTAAGCATTTTCACTGGTTTGAAGGTTTAGAAAATGTTTCTCAAGCTGCTGGCTAAAGTTATGGTAGAGATGGGGAGAGATGGACAGAGCGGGGAGGGAAGTGGGTGGGCAGAGCAGAGAGAAAGGAGAATATAGAAGTTAAGGATGATGCTACTCGAGAGCTCACTGCCAGGGTTCCGGCACCAGCTCTTCCAGTTAGTTGCTATAAGACCTTAGAGAAGCTTCCTTCCCAGTCCAAGCCTCCTTTGTTATCAGCAAAATAGAGATGATAATAGTGTTTACCTCCTGGGGTTATTGTAAGTAAGTATTCAATAACCCTATTTAATATACTAACATCGCTTTAGAACCATACATTACATGCAGTGAGTACTCTATAAATGTTAGCTACTGACATTATCATTGAAATACATAAAACCAAATGTTGGCTTTCTTTCTATAGAATGGCTATGGTATTACATATGCAAGGAGTTCTTACTAAGCCAGATTGGGGGAGGGGGGAGTTGAATGAAGTCATTTGTAAGGCTGCCGTGGTAGAGGCTGTGAGTGACTTCCATGCCCAACCCATGGCATCCACTTCACCTCTAGGAAGGTGCCAGAAGTTCAAACTGTGTGGTACATTAAACATAGCCCAGGCCTTTGTCAGGGGCCCAGTGAGATTTGAGAAGGGAGTGACAGGTGAGCTTGGAGGCTCCTTTGCAAACATGAATCCTGAGTCAAGTGCACAAGATCAGAAATGCACAATTCCAGAGGCAGGAAAAGGGGAGAAGTAGGAGAAGCAAGATGGGAAGGACTAGGAGCCCCTGTGGCCCAACTGAAGTTCAGACCACACCAGCCTCCCTGCTGTGGGAAGAGAAAAGCAGACCCAGGGAGCTAGGAAGATGGAGGGGCATGAACTCCCTTCAAGTCTGGGTGCAGACCCAGAGAAGCAGCCACATTTCATTGGCCAAAGAAAAAGAGAGATAGACCTTTGGCCTAGAGCCAAACGCCCACTTTCTAAGGGAGAGGCCTGACTCCCCTTGGCCCAAACACCAATAAGGCAAGTCTGTAATCAACTCTCATTATTAAAAGCAGCTGGAGAAGTTCTCAAACAGACAAGGAAGACAGTCATCATCAAAAAGTTAGCAAAGACCAATCACACTTTTATTTACAAACACATTTGAAGGACTTTCTTTTTAATTAGTAAGATTCATTCTTGATTGGAAATTTCAGCCACGAAGGTGTTAAAGTTAACTTGACTATTGAGTATGGAATCAATATTCAAACTTTGATAATACAAAATTATATTTACCTTTAATTACAGTCAAGTTTTAAGGTTTGCTTAAGCCAATGATCAGACTAGTCTAGGGGTCAACAAACTCTTCTACAGGCCACATTTATCTGGCCATCTGTTTTTGTGAATTAAGTTTTCTTGGAACACAGCCACACCTACTGTTTAACACTTACCCTCTACTTCCTTGATGACGTCTATTCTCAGTTCTTTTGAGGGCTTTGCTCTTAGCTGCCTAAGGTTATTAGTTGAATGGGAGTTACCGCAAGAGTTGAGAGCATAAGCTCTGGAATGACACAGATCTTCCTGGGGCTTAATCTTGGATTCTCTTCCCTGTGACTTAGCCTCAGTCAGTTAATATCTCTGTGCCTCAATTTTATAATCTGTAAAATGATGGATAATGTTTTCCTTATGGATTGTTGTAGCATGAGATAAGATAACTGTCCGGAACATAGTAAATGGTCATTCAATGGTAGCTCTTGTTTTTAATTAGTAAGATTCTAAAAGGGGAAGTTTAGGGTGAATGGGGAGGGAAGCCCCAGCAAGGTAAGCAACCTTAGTTGATTTGAGAATATAGGCTCAACGCGAGCCGAGTCCTTTACCTTGTCTCACTGCATCTTTACAACAGATCTGTGAAATGGGGTTTATGACCCCCACATTACACACAAGCAAACCAATGCACAGAGGCATGGAGTGATTTTTCCCAAAGTCACACAGCTTGTAAATCTAAGAAGTGGGATTCAAATGTAAGTCTCTTTGAATCCAAAGCCTATTCTCAAATAAATCAAATAAAGCCTTTAAAATCTTGATGTTGCTCGCTTTTTTATAATGTCTATTTTTTTTTTATTTGATGGACTCAACTGTCATAAAAGTTAAACCGATTATGTATGAAAGGCAATCTGTGAATTCACTTCTAAGAAACAGTAAGAATGATTCTTCTTGCTCCATGCAGGCAAATCCTTCTTAGAGGATGTATGCAAATGTGGTCCAGAATTAGAAAGCCTTATTTATACTCTGGAGCTAGGGAAATAGCTTTTAGGGATTGGATATAAAAAAAGCTATGCATTGAATAAGGAAGGGGGAGAAGGTACAGAAGATAGTGGAAAGGGCTTAGGTATAAAGAATGGGAGTGGAAATCCCTACTTAGAAGGAGAATATGAAAAGAATAAATATAACTAAAAAACAAATGTATGGGAATGTGAAACCCAGTAGTATTGACAGTGATATAATTAAACAATAAATGAGATTGTACTTTAATACCAGTTAAATAAGAAAACCATTTAGAAAAAGTATTGCCCAAAGATGGTAAATATGCATTGAAATCTGGTCTTTCATGCATTACTCTGTGCAATCTACAATGAAAAGTAATTTGGAGATACGTGAAAGAAAATAAAAGTATTCATATTCTTTAATTCAATAATTCTTCTTCTGAGGATCCATTCCTAGAAATCATTCAAAATATTAGGAAAAATGAGGATGTTCTTTGTATTAATAGAATTATTTGAATGACAATATTTAAAATATACCTGTCCAACATTTGGGGAATGGTTAAATCAACTACAATACCTTTACTTTCTAGAATTTTATAAAGATATTTATGCCTATGACATACATATACACTTTTTAAAAATACAGATTGAGGATTGAAGTACTGATACATGTTACAACATGGATGAACATTGAAAGCATGCTAAATGAAAGGCAGCAGGCACAAGAAGTCATGTATGATTCCATTTATAAGAAATGTTTGGAACAGGCATACCTATAGAGACGTAAAGTAGGTTAGTGGCAGCCTGGGGCTAGGTGTTGGGGGGTGGGGTGCAGCAATGATGAGTGATGGCTAGTGGGTACATGGCTACTTTGTGGGGTGACAAAAATTCCCAACTGAGATTGGGATGAAGTTGCCAAACTCTGCAATCATATTAAAAACCATTGAACTATACACTTGAAGTGGGCAAATTGTATCTCAATAAAGTTATATCTCAATAATAGTATTTTTAAAAAATACAAATTGAATATATTACTATACTTAAAACTCAGTTACATAAATACATGACAAACAAACTAGAAGTGAATATAACCAAATGCTAACAGTGGTTTGGTTCAGAAAGTGAATTTATGGGTGAAAATTTTTGCCTTCTTGTATTGTCCAAAATTTTTGTAATGTGATTAGATTTCTTTCCTTATTAAAAAGATGTAGGTATAATTAACAAATAGAAGAATCATTCTTCTTCACAGTTCTGTTTCACTTCCATTCTTCTTTCTTTTTACCTTGTAGAATCAAGAGTCAGAAATGTCACAGCCCGGATTTGGGGGTGGGGGGCAAGGGCAACATACGTAACCTAAACATCTGTACCCCCATAATATGCTGAAATAAAAAAAAAAGAAATGTCACAGCCCAGTAGCTATCACAAACCCATCTAGCCATTTCAGGCCATTTGATACAATTCTCTGAATGAAAAAGGACACCGTAGTAATGGGTTTAACACCCCCCTCCCAAAAATATACACATTAAAAATTCTGGAATGTTGAATATAAATGTGTTCTCATTTTTAGGAAGTGATAGAAGCAATCGCGGAGTGTGCATTTAAGACTTCACCTTTTCCAATTCTCCTTTCATTTGAGAACCATGTGGATTCGTAAGTATTCAACACATTAACAAGGAGTCTTTTTCCCAAATAAGGCATTATCTAATAATTGTTTATCAGGTTTAAGATTATTTGATATTATTAATGGTGTTCTCCAATCATGTGACATATTAAGTGGCATGTTTTCATCTGTATGTGATGAAACTCATTCACTTAAATCTCATGAACATTAAAATAACCCATTGGACGTGTGGAATCTATTTTCATGCCATAATATGATTTTTAAATTAAGGACTCTTCTTTCTACAATGCAGTGGAACACATTTTCTTATATAGTACATGTCTCTATTACATATTTGGGTTGCATTAGGCCACTTTTATAAACCCCCTTCATTAGCTCCTTCCATTTCATGCAAATTTACAATCAGTTTTATGACCTCAAAATTGCCAGTTCCCTTCAGTTCCTTGTGGCTAGAGGAGGGAGAGCTGTAAATTCTATTCTGCCACTTTGCACCTACACAGACGTCTGTCCGTGAAATGCTCCATCTTTCCCCTTCCCACTGGTTTCCCGTTTGTTAATATTTGTAAATATTTTCCTATTTCACAATATCCTGCACTTATTTCTGAGCTGCATAAAGAAAAGGTAATTTTGACTTAACTGTTTTAGATTCGTTTGATCACAAAGCACCAAAGAGAGACACATTTAAATCTAATACATATATTTAGTGTATCACAGAGTTACTCACCTTAAAGAGCTTCAGAATGAAATATTCTTTTCTATATTGAATCAAAGTTCATGGAACTAACATTCTAGTCCACGGAATCAACGTCTGGAGAATATATAGTGCTCACTATCATTGCCCGAAAGAGCTATGTGAAGCCCTCTCTTTCATCTCAGATTTCCCAACTAGAAGCCAGCAGCCCTCCCTGTCCTAATTTAGCTCACAAGTCATTTTTTACCCCTTTTCCTATTGAGTCTTTCCCAGGTCACTGATCCTCTTTGTCCACATAATTTGCAACACATGCTTCAATTCACTAATTCTTAAAGAATGTACTAAATCTTAAAGAAGCAGTATGGTTGTGATCAAATTTCAGCTTGAAGAATCTCTAAGTAGTTAAATGTGATTAGTTGTTAATGTATACATGGAGAGACCTTATTTCAAAGTAATCAATTTTATAATTATCCGTATTTCTAGTTTGCCCTCCAGAAATCCATATTACATTTTTTGGCTTTTGATTCTGTTTCATTATGAAACAATCATCCAGTGAATGATGTAATCATTTGACACACAGTTTGCCCAACACTCCTGAGGGTCAAGGGAAGAAAAAGGAATTTATTCTGCTCCGTGGCTATTTCTTTTCTTACTAAAAGGGGTGCTTCTTTAGTGGCTGTATTTAATACCTCCTTTGCCATGACAGCTCTGATTTGCAAGTGACTTTCTTGGGATCACTTCCTCATCTCTGTCCATCTGTTTGCAATTGGGCTCTAATGCTACTTTAGCACTTTTCTTTCAGGCACTATAGTGTGCAAACTTGTTGATGTGTTGTTTTCTTTTTGGAAGAAAAGGCACCTAGCTTACTTATTTTCTTAAAAAAGTGTTTCTATTGAAATTAGACAAAACAAAAGGCTATGGTTTTATTTGGGCTTGCCCCACCTGCTACAATGAACTCTCCTTTGAGGTAGCAACAATCACCGCCATCACAGACATAACAGCAAACACTTAATGAACATGGATTTTGTGCCAAACAGCTTTCCAAATATTTCACGTGCCTCAGCTCATGAAAGCCTCACCACAAACCTAGGTGGTTCTAAGAGTAAATATTAAATTCTACAGATCATAAAACTGAGTCCCAAAGAGGGTACCTTGCCCAAGTCCGTGCAGCTAAAACGTGACCGAGATGGGATTCAAATTCAGCTAATCTGGCTTCGGAACTCACAATTTTAGTCCACACCATTCTCTACTCCTAAACAGAAGCACGATGAGCCTTCAGTTGAGACAACAGAGCATCTGCAAGGCAACTGCCTGCAAATGTTCACATCTATGGGGCTTGTAGCCCTCAGCCAAAAGATGTTTTTTGCAGTCTTCCACACCAATAATACAATGATCCAAAACTGGGCATGAAAATGAATTCCTACATTGTGCACAAAAGCAAAGAGGCTAGTGCCATAATACTGCCCTTTCTGGTTTAAAAATGGTAAATTTAGCTATTGAAAGTTCATTAATAATTCATATGTGACAAAAGAAAACAGGAAAACAACCTTCCTAGGATGTCATGATCATATCCCAAACCACTGAGATAACAGAATGGCAGTGAAATACTAAGAGACTGAATTCTATTGTGGAGGAAGTGGGAGGAAGTTTTTTGCTTTGTATTTCCCTTGTCCTTCACCTCCAGATATCAGAACTGCTTAGCCACAGTTCTTTCCTGGGAGGGCTGTCACACACCCAAAGAAAACTGATAAGCTTTCTTGTCGCTGGACTAACCCTATACTTGATTTGTGGGCCACCTCGCCTAGTGCCGTGCAGTCAGAACACTCTTTCCCATTAAGCCTAGATCTAACCTCAGAAGCCTTCTCAACACAGTGACTCAGGAACACATCACCAAAATATCTGAAACTTACCCCTGATGAACCATTCTATTCTGCATGCTGCATGTACAAAATGTCAGATTCAGAACTCTAGTCCCACCTAATTTGGGCCACACCTCCAAAACAAACTCACACTGGGAAAAGGGAAGAAAGCCACTGAATTTTCTGGTTTTCTCTCCCGATATTTGAAATCACCTATCTACGCACAACAAAGAGGAATCTGCCATTACCTGCTTTCAGCTTATCCCCTTGCTACATCAGATTCTCACAGAGTGCTTTTCAAAATGCAGATTCCTGAGCTGTACCCCTCCCTCTGAATTAGAATTTCTAGAAATAAGACTTGAAAATCCTTAAAAAAAAAAAAAAAAAAAAAGCCCTAGTTGACCCTAATGTTCCACTTAACTTGTGAACTAGCACTTTCAGAAAAAGAATTCTACACTGAATTCAAGTGAAGTAACCTCTAGCCCTGTTTGGCCACAGACAACTATGAGATTTTGGACAAGGTCCTTAATTTTCATGATTTGCAGATTCCTTCTCTATACAGAAGGACATTGATTTATTAATAGTTCCACTTGTAGGATTTACCCCATGAAATGAGATGAGTTCCTTGGTCAGAAAACTGACCACTTTGCCAGATGCCTACACTTTTGGAGTATTTAACATGTTCAGAAATGTCTGCCATGGCCTGAAGCTCAAAATGCATTTGTGAATTTTTTCCTCTCACTTCATCTCCATGGTAGCTGATATTAATGCTCTAAACACTTCAGGAATTTTTTTTTTTGGTGCTAATTGCAATTTTAATGCCTTTTATTTCTGCAGTTCTGACCTGCAATTAAAGTCGCTTTGTTTTCCTCTGACTTTTTCTATTCAATTTGCTCTCTGCTCTGATTTAGTTCCCTGTCGGGTGGGCATGTGTATTTATTGAGAACATGAATAGCTTGATTACGTAAATAAATAGTTCGTTTTGTTATTTTCTTGGACACCTACCTCTTGTTCTCTCCATCTCAGTTGGTTTTGAGGCAGGTCTTTAGAAGTCCAAGTTAGACATAGATTCTTGTTTTTCAAAGTGTTGTCCTCAGACCGGAAGCATCTGCATCACATTAGAGCTTGTTAGAGATGCGCAGAGTTGGGGCCCCACCCTGGATTCTGTGTCAGAATCTCCATTTTTATAATACCCCCAGGTGAATGATTTGAATGAAGTGGTAGAGCTCAGCTCGAAACACTGCGGCTCATTAACCACCTGCATCAGAACGACCTGCACGCTTGTTTAAAATGCATGTTTCAGGGTTTCGGTCCTCACTACATGAATCAAGGGACTGGGGAGTTGGCCCTGTCACCGCAGCCTTAACAGCTCAGGTGATTCGTGTAACTGAGGAAAAATCGTGGCTCCAGCAAAATCCCCAGGGCCTGATTTGGGAACCACCTGAAAGAGGACATCTGCTTGGGGATACTTGGAACATCTCCCCCAAATCTTTCCACTGGTGAGAATATGGTTTGCTGGGAAAGCCTGAAAGCAGGGCATTAGGGTAAACTCTTCCCTTTCACTCCAGGTCTCTACCCAAAGAGAATCTGGGGCTCCCGAGTTCCAACACTCAAGGAAAATGTCATCTATTTCAGCACTTGTTGACTTATTTTAATCTGTCACAGAGGTTTTCAAACTTGAACCTGCATCAGCCTCATCAAAAGGGCTTCCTGGACTTCACTGCCTGAGATTCTCTGGTTCAGAATCTGCATTTCCAATAAGCTACAGGTGATATTGATGCTGCTGCTCCAGAGACCACGCGTGGAGTAGTCAAGCTCTGGATATTTAACAGAGTCATTCTGTGAAAGTAAAATGGAGGGTTTGGACAGTTTCTTTCGTGTAACCTGGAACAGGTAGGCCCAGCACCAATGGGCTTGTTCTCGGCTGCAGCCAGACAGTGGGCTGACCTGGTTGAACCCTGGTGCAAGTTATCCTTGGAGGCAGAGTACCTGAATTTGAGGATGCCAGGGGCTGCCAGTTCTCTGCCTGCTCCCAAAGGTCTCATCGACACAGTTTCTAATGAGTTGTCCTTAAACGACCACCTCCAGTGTTTTTCAGGGTCAATTCTCTGATGAGCAGTTGTTCTTTCTCCCTGGTACTGCAGAGGAAGGTTGCAGTCTATTCTGACGGCTGCATAAACCATGTAGTAAACTCTCACACAAGCCAAGAAAGAATGGTGAGAAGGTGCAAGATTGGAGGGCTTTGCAAACTCTTTGAATCTTGCCTTTCCTTTCCCTGCAGTTCCAAGAAAGCAGTGACCTTGGGGGTTCATATTTGAACCCCAAAGAACTCACTTGACCCCCAAAAGCACATAGTTTGATTGTTTTCGCAGGGATATAAAGAGTGTTTTCCCCTGTGAATCACTGCAATATGATTTGAACTCCCAATACTCCCACTCCCAGGAGAAAAAAAAACAGCCCATCATCCAGGCTTCATATTCATAGAAGAGGGAATGAAAATAAGAATTACATTTTACAATCAATTTGAATTGTGGTAAAAAAAAAGGCTTTTCATCACTGTTACTTATTCTTAGTACAAGTTGCAGTTCTGCTAAAATGTATTATCTTTGCAGCCTGTAAAGAAAACTACTGGGAAATCAAGTTCAACAGCCTGTAGATCAAAATCAGCATCCATAAAACCCAGTAGAATTGGATACCTTTATAATGATATTTAACATTCCACAAAATGAGAAAAAAAAAGTTTATTGCTTTTTAAAAGGTCTAGGAAAGCAGGAGCATCGAAAGAATGTGGATGTTCCCCTCTATCAACTGTGTTTACAAGTTGTTGGGTGCACGATTTGTCTAGTCTAGCTGGCGGACGCTGCCTCGTAACAGTGGAATCATCTTACATTCGCCCCGCTCTTAACGTCTCAGAGACATTTGCATCCATTACTTCATTTCATCTTCTCAGCATCCTCCGTCCCTTTCCAAGAATAGTTATTATCCTCCTCGTTTTATAGATCCGGAATAGTTCACAGCCTGGAGCTCAGCTCAGCAAACCCTGCAGCCCCAGCCTTTCCCATCTGACCAGGTTCCTACTGGCAACACACTCAGGCTATACCACCTTTGCTTTCCCGTTATGTACTTAAGAGTTACACACACCTTTCCCCAGGGTGCCTGCTACTCTTGTCTTTCTTCCAGGGCCCCCTCCCTAAGTGGACACATTGTCTGCTGGTTGGCCCTTTTTGACCTTTTGAGATTCTCTCTCTCTCTCTCTCTCTCTCTCTCTCTCTGTATTCGTGTGTGTGTCTCTCTGTGTGTCTTCCTTCTTCCCTCCCTTTCTATTCATCTCCCTTCCTGCCTTCCTCCCTCTTCTCTCCTCCCTCACCTCTTCATTAACATTCCTTATGCTGCTCTGTCCATCCAACAAATTTCACCCAAGAGTTCACATGGAATCATGAAAAGGTCCCCCTCCAAGTGACTACTGACTGAGAAACAGGGAATTAAATAAAAGGGACTGAGTCTCTTAACACTGAGAATTTCAGGAATCCAGTGACAGGCAAACGACCTGCTGTCTTCTCCATCCGTTTGTGTGCAGGTCAGCCTTAGAAATAGCCTGACATGGCCGGTGCCTCTGCTGACCACCTGTGTGTGTTACTCCAGTTCACATAAGTCAGGATAAAGATGTAGAATGATAAAAGCTGATCCAGAATGGTGGGATTGGGGAATTACCTCTTTTTGTAGTTAATAATACAACGCAATCCTGTTCAGCTCTCTGAATAAGCCTCCCTGCTTTCCTCCTTCTTGTTGCCCCGCAGCCCAAAGCAGCAGGCCAAGATGGCGGAGTACTGCCGACTGATCTTTGGGGATGCTCTTCTCATGGAGCCGCTGGAAAAATACCCAGTAAGCAGTCTTGATGTCTGCCCCTGAAGGAGCACGTGTATTATGTAGGGATGGGGTTGGGAGGAGACTTACTCACTTCCTTTCCGTGTTTATGTGTCTTGGTAAGATCAATGCACTTGATAACAAACTCTTTGGCCAGGAGGACATGAGCCCTGGGCGCAGCTGAGGGTGGAAGACAGAAGACGTGCATCTGTTCTTTTCCTCTTCCCACGGTCTCTTCCCTCCCTCACTGCCTGAGGATACTCATTCAGGGGTGCAGAATTCCCCACAGTTGCAATTGGCCCATGAAGACAGTCTGAAAGGACAGGCCTCCGATTCCTCCCAGGGAAGCTCATCACACCCCTTTGGGATGAGAGGGTTGTCAAAACAGGACACGACAAGTGGCACAGCGGCTTCTTGGCCTGTTCTTGCTGGCTGCTGCCTATTTCCTTGCATGCAACTTTTGTTGTGGCACAACTCAGGCATCCTATTGCCGTGGTAACAGCCCTGCTTTCTAAAGAAAAGCAGCAGAAATATCCTAAAGTACCCTCTTCCCTCTGGAACCCTTTTGCCCGATCTCCTCATACCCTTAAGTGAGTTCATACTCAGAGTCATTGCAAGCAAAGAGCAGAAAACTATCTGAGGAGTTCAATAGACTTGCTAAAAATAACCCATCTTGTGGCTTGCATACATGCTCTCTGATACAATATCTAATAACCCTCTCATGGGAAATTGATTTTCCCATTAAATGCACCAGCTTGAAACACTAGAAATAAGGCTTGCAAATGTGGTACCTTCAATCTCAGGGCTGGGAGGAAGTCTGAAGTCCTCTACTTCACCTCTCGTGGTGCCACAGAGATGTGTAGCTAAACTACCTCATACCAGGATGAGGGGATTTGCTGTTTTTAAGCTGTATCTGAAAAGTGGATTCTACAGGGTCACCTGGAAGCTTCTGCCCATCCTCACCAACTCCTCCTGGCAGGTGCCTGGCTTCCCACCTTAGAAAACTAAGGCCAAGGCTTTCGTATCTGTCCTACATCAGGGTGGTTGGATTTATATGGTCTGTTGGAAAACTCATTAAAGTTCAGGTTTAGTACATCAAATCTACCAGTGCTATGGTCACATTCATGTAGATTTTGTTGCAAAAAAATAAAAATACAGTAATTGAAATATATCTTTAAGGAAAAAAAAAGCTATGAACCAGCCCCCATGCAGGACCCCCTTAGAGCACTTTAATGAGCGGCGTTGGGCATGGTAAAGAATAATCTAGACACTCTTGGTATCCAAGGCTCTGCTGAGGGTCTGAGGACGGGATCTGAAAGGAAGGGGTAGTATTTTTAAAGAAGATGCTTTTCTCTTCTGTTAGCTGGAATCTGGAGTTCCCCTTCCAAGCCCTATGGATTTAATGTATAAAATTTTGGTGAAAAATAAGAAGAAATCACACAAGTCTTCAGAAGGAAGTGGCAAAAAGAAGCTCTCGGAACAAGCTTCCAACACGTACAGTGACTCTTCCAGCGTGTTCGAGCCTTCATCCCCAGGAGCTGGTGAGGGGCTACTGGGCTCTCCTCCTTATGCTGTGTGTGGGTTTAAGAGTTGCTGCTCTGGGATTAGCTTAGACGGACTTTTAACCTTCCTATGTCAGCAGTTTTCAACTACATTGTTGGTTTTCTATTGCTGCTACAAACTTGACGGCTTAAAAGTGCACAAATATATCATCTTCCAGTTCTGTAGGTCAAAAGGCCCACAGAATCTCACGGGGCTACACTCCAGGTGTCGGCAGGGCTGCGCTTCTTTCTGGAGGCTTTAAGGGAAAAGCCATTTCCTTGCTTTTTCCAGCTTTTTGAGGCCACCCACACTCATTGGCGCAGGGCTCCATCCTCCAGCTTCAAAGCCAGCAATGTTGCATTTCACTAACCCTTCCTTGTTTAGTTACATCTCCCTCTGACCACAGGCGAGAAATGTCCTCTGCTTTTAAGGACTCCTGTGATTACATTGGACCCATCTAGATAATCTGGGGTTATCTCCCCAATCACAAGGTCTTTAACTTAATGTCATCTACAATGCCCCTTATATCATGCAAGGTAACATACTTGCTGTACACAGACCATCTCTTGGCCGTTATTCTGGATACCACATAAACCGAATAATCTTTGGAGTGACCACATGATTTTAAGCTTCATATGGGAAACATTAGCCATAGGACTGGGCACTGAGTGCATTCGCATTGATGATATGCTCAAGAGTTCTGGGCATTTCGATTTATCCGTATTTTACAGAGCTTTTAAAAAATGTGCCATGGCAAAATTATTTGAATTCTCTAACAAAGCTACTAGGAAATGCTTAATATCATTCCTTTTCTTTTTAAATTTAGATCGAAATAGATTTTTGTGATTGATGAGAAAAGAATTCAAAGTGATCACTCGTTTCCTTTGGATTATTTGTCTTTTAGTCTAATTCATTTTCCACATTCAGTCGGAATCTTGGGAATCTGAAATCTGCATTACAAAAATGTCCTGATTGAAGGGTGATTATACGGAGGAAACTCTAAGCTTGACTTTAGGAAGTTCTTCATTTCAAAATCTAACTAACATGGGAACAATCGCTTTGGAAAACTATTTAGCAGTATCTACAAAACCTGAACATAGGTACCCCCTGGACCCCAGGAATCCCATTCCTAGGTAGATACCCAACAAAAACGCATATTTAGGTTTACCCAGAGACATGTACAAGAATTGCTTAAAGCAGCACTATTCAGAATAGGCAAACACTGGAAACCAACAAAATGCTCATCAACAGATAAATAAATCATGATATATTCACACAAAGGAATAATATGCAGCAATGAGAATGATCTACAACTATACCTAAAAATATGCATGAATCATTATAAATAAACATAAGCAAAAGAAGTCAAATACAAAGTATATGCTATATGATTCCATCTATATAAAGTACAAAAACAGACAAAACTAATCTATGCTGTTATAAGTCAGGATAATCGTTACCCTTGGAAAAGAAGTAACTGGAAGCGAACCCCACGGGGCTTCTAGAGATGGGTTATATTTTGTTTCTAGATCTGGATACTGGTTACGCAGACGCATTCATTTGACAAAAATTCATTTCACTGAGCACTTATGATATGTACTTTTCTGTATACAGAAAAGTTATACATTAAAATATTTTAAAATAATTAAAAATTTAAAATATAAACTCTAGGTCAATTTAGAAAAAGGTTGTCTGAGACTCTGATTTATCTGTTCTTCTATTTTTCTGTCTCAATTGCCAATTCCTTTTATTGGTTAGACTAAAATCCTTATCCACAGACATCATATAATTCTTTGGAAGGGTTTTGTTTTGTAGCTTTCCAATGTGTACTTTTTTAAACGTTATTATACAATTCTTTCAAAATTTTTTTCAAAATTAACTTTTGTTTTCAGTGCGAATGTTCTTTTTGAAGTTTTGAAGTGAATACCATGAAGAGGCCAGGCCTATCACTAACACCTATTCCCTAACACAGCTCTGTCCTTTGGATGCTAGCATGTAAACCTTGTCTTCCTTTGCATGTGGGTACTTGTTGTTGTTGTATTTTTTTTACCATCTGCCTTTCCCACTACCAGTTCTCTCCCTCTTATTAACTGGATGCGTAACACAAATGACGATTTTTACAGGCAGTGAACATGATTGCTTAATACAGAGAAAGAGCAGCAATCTGTTAGTTATTCGGTAGATTTCCTAAGCGAGTCCCGTAGTCTATTGTGCAATCATTATTTATTTCGATGGAAATTTTTGGACATTTTAATATGTAGGTAGTCCCCTGAATAAGGAGCACTGCTAATTTACCATTTGGTTTGTAGATGTTCACAGTACTGGGAACTCAAGTAACTTGAAAAACACAAAATGGATGTCATTTCAAAGCTAATGCACTTATGGCCCTGGCTGCTCAGATACCTTTTGCAGGATTTACCCTTTGCTGATACACTGGCCCTAAAAAAGTAGGGGACAGTAAGATGTTTTTTTATAGCTCAATAAGATTCCCCCAACATCCCTCCAAAGACTTAGAGGAAAATCAGGTCTCTGCTTTTGTTGTAAAGAAAGAGAAATTCTTTCTTTCCCACATAAACCAAAGACTGACCTGACTGGCATTTGAAATGACTGGTGTATTACTGCTCATTTTGTAGAAGGCTCTGCTAAACAACTTTTTAAATTACTTGATTAAAAGCATCTTCTCTCTGATTTAAAAAAAAAAAAAGTAATAATAACTTGGGACAAAATTTAGGTGACAACATCCTAAAATAACATGTCTCTAATATAATAATAAAATATGTTTCTATCCAAAGTATAATTGAGTCACTTTATTAACCAACACAATATCAGCATCATAGAGTGGTTGTCTGTGGCTTTGTTTAATAAATAAGTCATAAATAATAACCCTTAGTGGTCTCAGAAATCTTTTCTCTCTGAAGATATTTCTCATTGCTGTCATTCAGTAACTGATTGAACTTTGTTAGCCAAATGGAAAGCATTTATAGGCTTCTTGGAGGACAGTACTCTGGGCACTGTGTCATTTATATAGATGGGGTAGAACAGCTAACTTTCAGAGGGCGGGGGACATGTGCCAACTCAAGTTGCTTCATTGTTGGGCCAATATTGCCATCTACTGGGATGAAAGTGCTATTGCAGTGTGTGAACCCCAAAGGATTAAAGTAAATAATTGAGCACTATGACTTCTTTACTTTTAACTTGAAAATCTTTTTACATAACTGATATTACTGGGTCTAACTGAAGCCCAGAGCTGTGGAAGAATGTAATGCTTCATACTAGTGTGAGTATTTAACTTAGCAGAAATGTCCACTAAATCTTCAGGCGTGGAGGAGTAAGTTCACTGAAATGATCGTATTACTATTGGGTAAATATAAAGCTGAATTATTGCAGATAGAGTTAGATTTTCATAATGATATTTAAGAGTTCATCCATTTTTTCACACCCTTTTCAACAGAATGCTACCATTTTGTAAGATATGTGCATTGTTTAGATAATAATGCATCCATCAAATAAGCTTGCAGACAAATTGTAGGATGTGGTTGGCACTTTACAAGTTTTGTGTAGTCAGTTGTGCTACCAAAGGCCCACAGGTCCTTCCCCAGCTCCTGACTTCATTTTGGACTTCTGTGAGGTCCGCATGGCTTTGGGAAAGGTTGACATAAGGTCACTGAGCTATGTGCTGGCTAAGCATTGCATTGAAGGGTCAGGGCTTAGGAAAGGAGGAAAAGATGAAAGATAGATAGTTTATCTGTTCTAGGGTCATAGAAACCCCGAGAGAGAATGTAAACATCAAAATAAGATACATGTACCATAGAAAGCAAACTGTATATGGTGCCATGTTTTTAAAAACACATGGAGAAAAAAATGTTAAGTATTTTTTATAGAATTTGGAAATTTTAAATGGTATTTATTATAATAACAATCAAATTTAGAAAAAAAATATATTCAAAATGTCAGTATGATTTTTCTGTAACTGATCCTAACACATTGGGGCATACCCATAGTCCCAGCTACTCAGGAGGCTGAGACAGGATGATAACTTGAGTCCAGGAGTTCAAGACTAATTTTGGGCACCATGCTAAGACACCATTCTCAATATAAAATAAAATAGATCTATCGGATTAAATTATGCTAAGGCTCAAATGAAGCAATGATTTAGAAAATACTTCAAAAAATTTTTCCTGTAACAAATAAAATTTAAATCCCTGAAAAACAATTTTAAAACAAACGAAGAGCCCAATTTCCAAAGAATGGTCTAATCAAATTTGATAACACGTGTGTGTTACAAGTGCTTTAAAGCTGTAAATGTTGACATCACGATGTGTTATTAATTTGACAGGAGAAGCTGATACAGAGAGTGATGATGATGACGATGATGATGACTGTAAAAAATCTTCAATGGATGAGGTGGGTACCTAGGGCTTCCAGCGTCAGGTGCATTCTGCCAACTTGTCAGGCTCGGTAAAAACCACCTGGGCATATCCCACGGTCACCTTCTGCCATCTAGTGGCAAAAAGAGTAAATGTACGGCATCCAACTGCCAACTTCAATTTTTGAGGCAATTAAATAGATTGTGACATGGTTCATAGTCTGGAGAAGATGTGGGATTTGGAGAAATGTTCGGCACTATGACATTCATTGCATTATCGTAATTTTGGAATCACTATAGCTACCTATTAATAAAAGCTCAAGCATTCCAAGTAATTTGATGAGCTCAGAAATATTAATAGCACAGAATCTAGAAGCAAATCAGGGGCAGGTCAATTGGAATTTTAGAATTTTGTCCTAGCAGGAGTCCTCATCAAAAAATCTATACTGAATCTGCTTTCTTCAAGTGTGTTGGAGATTCTCTTTCTCATTACTTCCAGCTTTATCATTTAGTTAAAAATAAAACAAACAGCAAATTATTCTTACTTCATGTTCTTCCTCTTATAATTTTTTTTTTTTTAAATCTAAAATTTTGGTTCGTTATGTTCCTCCACTAAATTTCAACTTAATTTCCAGAAGGAAAACTGCTTACAATGCCTGGCAACGTATATGTGCCTGAGAATTATTTCAATTGTGTATAATTTGTGATCAGTGATTCTTGATCATTCTAAAACTATCTTACTAACTGGTAGTCGATTTGCAAATGAATATTTCCCAATTGACATTTAACGAAAATATTGCTACCAGAGTTTAAGAAACCTTGTCTCCCGGGCATGGTGGCGCGTGCCTGTGGTCCCAGCTACTCGGGAGGCTGAGGCAGTAGGATTGCTTGAGCCCAGGAGTTTGAGGTTGCTGTGAGCTAGGCTGACGCCACGGCACTCGCCCCAGGCAAGAGAGTGAGACTCTGTCTCAAAAAAAAAAAAAAAAAAAGAAATCTTGTCTCTGTGCATTCTCTCTTCTAAAACTGGGAGAAATATAGATCAGTCTACAGAGGCCTGTCTTGTGCCAGTGCTACAGTATTGTTTTTCTTCTTTATTAAAAACTCTATCAAAGTAACGAGTAATAGCTAATGATAGCTAAAGTAACATGAGATTTTACTGTTCTAAAGTACTGTTCTAAGCCCTTTCACATAAATTCACTCTCATTTCATAATCACAAAAACCCTGTATACGATAGGGACGTTTTTATCGTAACTCTAGAGATGAGTAAACAGAGGGACAGAGCACTTAAGTAACTGGCCCAAGGTTGCACCCTTCTCACTAGCGGGTTTGGGTTGTAAAATCAGGCAATCTGGCTCTAGAACCTGAGCTATGACCCTTTACACTATACTATATTGCTTGTCTGATAGACACACGAGGAACCAAGAAGGGAAGGAGGGAAGAAAAATTATGAAGAAAAGCAAGAATAGCTTTTTGGCTACCCCCACCCATTTCTACAAGGCAACTTATTATTATTTTTGACTAAAAATTTTTAGTACATTCAGCGGTCACCTACATAATTTTCTTATTGTACAGTGAGTTCTTGATTTATTAACCTCAGGCATCATCTATGGACTCTGTGCTGTGGAAGATGAGCTATACAAACTGTAGTGTGCATTCCTGCATTCGAATCACCTTATTGAGATGCAGATTCTGACTCAGAGCCCTGCAGTGGGGCTGAGACCCTGCATTTCTGTAACACCAGGAGGCTCTCTTCACAGGGGGTGCCGATGCCTTTGGGGTCACACTGCCAGCCACCACCCAACCTCCCTCCTCCCACCCCTCACTTTTGTAAAATGAAGTATCCTTTTGTTTTCTCATATAAGGAATTTTCTATTGGTAATAATCATTTTCAGAAGAGGAGGGATGATTTTCTGCTCTCTTGAGCCAGGTGATGATTTTCCTGGGAAAATAACCCTTGATAATATAATGCTTACTCTGGAAATGCTTTTTTTGTTTGTTTGTTTTTTATTCCTGCTTCCAGGGGACTGCTGGGAGTGAGGCCATGGCCACAGAAGAGATGTCCAACCTGGTGAACTACATTCAGCCGGTCAAGTTCGAGTCATTTGAAATTTCAAAAAGTAAGTTCCCTGGAGAAAAATCCCTAATGTAGTGTATGATGAATATATTTTACATACAGAGTAATTAAACCTACAAACGTTCCCCTTCATAGAGCCATTCTGTGCTGGTGAAGTCTTGAATACATAGTACATACAAGTTCACTATCTTGTTATCTTTATGCACATATATAAATATACATGTATTTTGATATATTAATATGAAAAATAATCATATGAGAAAGTATTCTATGATATTTCCCAAAAATGTTTAACAAGTCTACAGGCTATACAGGGTTATTGGAAAGACACATGACCAGAGTACAGCTAATTGAGAATTTGACATTTGGTTTTTGTTTGCAATAGCGCAGTGGGATCCATCCATTATATACATGATAGTGTTAAAATAAACTACCCATTTTCCAAAAAGGAAGGAGGCAGAAACTTGGCCGACCCTAATAACTGTAACTAGGACTCACATTCCATTTGTCCAGCAAATTTTATATTTTTAGGAGAATAAATCAACTTCCCATCACTTTGTGTTTTCCCTTTATCCAACTATACATCTGCGTTGGATGTAAAGAAAAATATTATCTTTACCTAGAGAAAAGAGCCCTTTTTATGAAAGTGCCCCTTGTATTTCCATGAAGTCTAAGATGCTATCAGATTAAGAGAATCCTTGAAACTTATTAGCTGCTCATAAACATGTGCTCTTAAAAACTGAAAATTTGCTTAAACACAGCAGCCTCATGTAAAGGATAGCTTTATAGATGTATTAAAATTCAAGACTCTACATAACATGCATTTATTTATATTTGTATTATTTTGCCCAAAGAGTCTGAACTTAGTGGTATATGAGATCTAGCTCTCTACAATAAAGAATTCAACTTCCAAATAGTTTATATATGAAGATTCCAACATTTTCTTTGTCATAATTACTGATGTTTCCCACCACAAGTCATTCAATGTGAAACATCCTAAAGTAGTTATTTTTAGATTACTGTGACTTTCATTGGCTGCAAAATGACTTTTCCCAATTCATTAGCTAAAAGCTCTTAGACAAGTAGCCAAGTATGAGAAAAAGCTGGTGCATTTAAGTTCTTCAGAACCTGCTAAAGACAGCACCAGCCAGACTTACAAACAAGCCCTTTTCTCCTTGTGTTTTATATCATATTATCACCTTCTTATAAAAAGGATACTAAACATGTTTTACAAAGTACCCATTAATGTTGACTTAACTTTAACTAACAGTCATGCTTAAAATAATAAGCCATATGAAAGTAGATTAAGGATGGATCAAAATAAGAAAAGTCAGGGTTTACCTTAGAATAAATTCGAGAGGTTGAGGAAGTAGAGAAAGAAGGGATCCGGGATGTTTAGGAAGAAGAAAGAGGTTTTTTTCATTTTGGAAGGTGGGCAAAGATGGGAAAAATGTCTGAAAGGTAACTCAGTTTTAAAAACTTAGAGCTATCTAACCACTGTCTATGACACTTGTCTGAATACCATACATAACAGCCGTTCTTTAGTTGGGAAGACAGTAGAGACATTGTTTTACTCTCAGTCTTTTTAAACTAAGATAACTTTGTTTTGTTTTTCTCACTCTAACTAGAGGCGTGAATTCACTTTCAAAATGTTTCTCTTGTGTTCAAGAATATTGAGACCTTTAGCACATTCACCTCTCTGACCTCTATTTTATTTCTCATCTAGTATGAAAATGAGGCCATCAGAGTGGAAAATTTTCAAGGATCCTTCTGTTTTGAAATACCGTAATTCTAATGTCTCATTAGTTGTTTGAACCAAAAGGGCATACACAAACTGAGAAGGTGACAACTAGGCATGAAAGAGATAGTCAGCATCTAGCACAAACATTCCCATGGCCTCTCTTATTAATCCCCAACAATAGCCCCCAAGAAACCCATCTGGATGGATTTAGAGCAAAAGATTCCCACAGTGTCCCTGCTCTTTTGACAAAAATGTTTTCATTTCCACACTATACTGGACTAAAATACATTTGTGTCCCTAAATCGCACAACCATAAGTAGATCTGACCCAAGTAGTAAATTTTAGAAGAGACAACTAACAAGACTTGATTTTTATTACAGGTAAATAATTCACTGAAAAAAAATCGAATATGAAAGTTATGTGGAAGATTAATTGCCCTCAACTTTACTGAACCTTTGCCTACTTCTTTTGTAATTTTATAATAGATAACATTGAATTTTATTTCTCACTTTCCTTTTTTGTTTTTGTTGTTTAACTCAGAAAGAAATAAAAGTTTTGAAATGTCTTCCTTCGTGGAAACCAAAGGACTTGAACAACTTACGAAGTCTCCGGTGGAATTTGTAGAGTATCCTTGATTTGACGGATGATTACTGAATTAACGTAACTGAAGTCATGTGCTGTTTGTTTGGTTTTTTAGTAAGGAGGAAGATGCATAGAATGGCTTAAGTCTATAACCCAGGAGTGATAAATAGTTCCAGGTGTCATATACAATGCTGAGTGGGATAGCCTTGCTTGTGGAAAAGAGAACTGGCCTTGGAGTATAGGAAGCCCAGATTTCAAGGTTACCCTCACACCATCAAGCTGTGTCCTTTGCAATTTGCTTAATCCTGACTTTCCTCGTGTGTAAAACTGAAATAATGGTACTAGCTTTGTGGTTTGCTCTTTGGATTAGGTACAACATGTGTCACGTAATTGTGTACTTTATATATATGTAAGATATAAGAAGTATCATGTCTATGCATATCCATGCATATGTATACACATTTGGCTTGGCACCTCACATACTTACATGTAATAGATGTCAAATTAAAAAATAGTTGGGGCCGGGCATGGCGGCTCATGCCTGTAATCCTAGCACTCTGGGAGGCCGAGGTGGGAGGATCGCTTGAGGTCAGGAGTTCGAGACCAGCCTGAGCAAGAGCGAGACCCCATCTCTACTAAAAATGGAAAGAAATTATCTGGACAACTAAAAATATATATAGAAAAAATTAGCCGGGCATGGTGGCGCATGCCTGTAGTCCCAGCTACCCTGGAGGCTGAAGCAGGAGGATTGCTTGAGCCCAGGAGTTGAAGGTTGCTGTGAGCTAGGCTGACGCTACGGCACTCTAGCCCGGGCAACAGAATGAGGCTCTGTCTCAAAAAAAAAAAAAAATAGTTGGGATAATGATGGTGAGAATGTAAATATATATTACTAATAGTGGCTTTGTCGATACTACTGACACCAAAAACTTACTCATGAACAGGTATAAAATGAAACGGGCCTTTAAATTTTTTTCATAAAATTAATTTTAAATATCCCAAAGTGCTCAATTTCATGAAGTAAGTTCTAGAATAACACTCACCTTTAAAATTCGCCAACAGGAGAGGAAAGAAATGTATACTCCAAGAAAAAAAATCACGCTAAAAAAAAACCATTATCATTAGTATTTATTATTAACTATGGGGATACACCTTTTGCTATGTCTTATGTAATTTAATCCTCATAATAGTCCTGTGATATAGGATTCGTTAAATCTATTTTATAGATGAGGAAACTGCAACACAGAAAGGTGGAATAACTTGCCCAAGATCATACAGCTAGCAAGTTCCAGAGTTAACATTCAACTCCATTTTACGTAGCTCGGAACCTTACCTAACCTCTACTTAACTTGGTAATAGGAACTAGACAATCTTGTTTTAAAGATACAGCATTTTCCGATAACTACAAGGTTCTTAGGATAGAAGACTGGTGATGGTAAGAACAAAAATGTGAAACAAGATCAGAAACTTGTGTGCTATATTGACCTTGTTGTCAATCAAAAAGAGCACACAGTTTTGGCAAATAGCGTTCCCAGAGAAGGTTAACAAAATGAGCAGAGAACGTTTCAAAAACAGCTGTACAATTCGTATTATCTGCTTCTGCGAAACACAATATCATCTCTCACATGACTTAACACACTCCAGCCTCCTTGTGTGTCCTTAGTCATTAAGTTTGTCCTTAATACTCTCTACAAAATCACATTGAATTTGACTCATCCATGTTTTGCCACCTCATTGGTTTTCACCCACAAAACTCTGCAAAGGTGGTGCTAAGTTCATAGGCTAAGAACACACTTACTCTGTTTGCTTAGAAAGCTTTCTTTATATTTCACCCACTGGCTCAATGAGATCAGCAATATTTATTTCTTTTCCCCAACAGAGAAAAGTAGAAGGCAGCCTCTCAGTTAATACTATTGACTAATGATTTTTATAATTGCATTCACTACTTAACATGATGGTCCAGATATAACAAAATGCAGCTCAGCAGGATCTATCCAAAAGGAACACGTGTGGATTCATCCAACTACATGCCTCAGCTCTTCTGGAACGCAGGCTGTCAGATGGTGGCACTTAATTTCCAGACGATGGGTAAGTAGCACAGGCATGTTCGTGCCCATTCTGTTACAAAGTCATACCGCCAAGTGTCCCAAAACCGTTCCCAGGTTATTGGGGGAGAAAAAAGTTGTCAGGCTTGATTGAAAAAGTAAATAAAAGCAGATTTCAGTGAAGGAAATATCAATGAGAAAAAAACAAATGTTGAAAATTGAGACATTTTCTTTAATAATTTATGAATGAGTCTTTATTCCTACTGGTTTTGCACTACTTTTCAAACAAAAATTTTTATGCTTTTTAAGGTAATACTTGTTTATTTTGAAAAAAATTGAAAATTCAAAAAAGGATAGGGAGAAAATAAAACTGCCAGGAATGCTACTGCTCAGAGATTCAGTGGTGTTGACTTTTGGCTTTGTAATCTGTCGTTTTTGCCTATATAGACACACTTTTTCATGTACTCCTTGTTTAAAACAAATATATATATTTACATACAAATATAAACACACACTTAAGTGCTTTGCGTGAGTAGTTCTATATTAACCATATTTCACAATTCACTAAAAACCTATTTCCTATCACTAGACAGTAAGGAATTTTTTCTACTATAATTCACTGAGAACAGTCCTGAATATAAATTATCAAGTCTAACTTCTAAAGTTCTTTTAGAAAAATGCCTTAAAAACAGAATTACTATGTTAAAAGACATGAGAGTTTTAAGCACCTCTGTGAACATTGCCAAATTGTCCTTTAAACACATCGCACTGGGTTAGTCCTCCGACACCAATGTACGATATGAGGCGGCCTCTCTCATTTGAGATCTTGGTTAAGTATTATCATTAAATAATAATTAAATTTCAGACAAAATGTGTTATCTCACTGTTGTTTTAATTCATGTCTTTATTTATTATTGAGGTTGAACATTTTAAAATGTGTTTCTTGGTTTTTATATTTCTGCTTTTATGAATCGCCTATTCAGGGCTAATGTCAGTTTTCCTATTTATTTATAATGGCACTTTTTATATAAAGGGCACAGTGTCTTTTGTTTTATGAAACAGAGGAAAATCCATTTTATGAGGTCAGCTTGATTAATGTTTTACTTTATAGCTCTTGGTTTACTTTTACTGCCCACCCCAGGATCAGCTCCCTGCACTCCTATTTCTCTCACTTCTTTTTTAATTTGTAATTTAACCCTTTCATCGATCCGAATTTAATTTCGTTATATACTCTCAGTGAGATCAATCCATTTTTGCCTAAAGAATCATCCCACCAAACTGGAATTACACCTTAATAGATGTAACCTTTTTTGTTGTTAATTTAGATCCATTTTTTCACTTTATATTTTTTCATTAATAAATTTGCTTTCCTGGATGCAATGACTCATGTTTTTATTATGTTTTATAATATAGCTTAATAGCTGGAAGTGGTATAAATAATAAATTCTCCTTCATGGCCATTAATTTTCAGTTCTTTTTTTGTCATTGCTGGTGGAATTCCTGTTCCAAATGAATTTAGTTTAATTGTATTATGTTTCCTTCTTGTCCACTAAAAATTCGTTTATTAAAATCACACTAAATTTGTAAATTTCTCTGAAGAAAACTGATACCTTTTTAATTTTAGTTTTTCTGTCGCAGAAAAAAAATTCTTTTCTCTTCACTTTAAAAATTCTTATACTAAGTCCCTCAGCAAAATCATTCATCTTTCTTTCATTAGAGATCCAGTTTTCTAGTTTTCTTAGATAAAA